CCAGCACATCCCTGCTTCTGTCACTCCGGAAATGAACGCCACACTTTCTAAACCGTTCACCGGGGAAGAGGTTAAGTTTGCTCTCGATGCCATTGGTGACCTGAAAGCTCCTGGACCGGACGGGATGCCAGCTGTGTTTTATAAGAAATTTTGGTATATGGTGGGTCCAAAACTGCAAGAAGAGGTGTTGCGGGTGTTGAACGGAGGAGTGATGCCTGAGGGATGGAATGAAACAACCATTGTGTTGATACCAAAGGTAAAGAATCCGGAGTCTCTCACACAGTACCGACCAATCAGCCTATGTAATGTTCTATATAAGCTCATCTCAAAGGTCTTGGCTAACCGTCTGAAAATGATCCTTCCGGAATTGATCTCCCCATCGCAGTCAGCTTTTGTTCCGGGGCGCATGATCACGGACAATGTGCTGTTGGCCTATGAGATCACTCACTTGATGCATACAAAGAAGGGAGGAAGGCAAGGCTTGGTGGCAGTCAAGCTTGATATGAGCAAGGCGTATGATCGGGTGGAGTGGAACTTCCTGGAACGCATGATGCACACTATGGGTTTCGCTCCTACTTGGGTGAGTCTGATTATGAATTGTGTTCGATCGGTTTCTTACCGTGTGAAGGTCAATGGAAAGTTAACTGACTCTTTTCACCCACAGAGGGGACTGCGTCAAGGAGATCCTTTATCTCCGTACCTTTTCATCATTTGTGCGGAGGCCTTCTCCAGGTTACTGCAGCAAGCTGAGGTCGAGAGGACAATTGAGGGGGTTCAGGTATGTCAGGGTGCACCAAGTATAAACCATCTCTTTTTCGCGGACGATTCCTTGATTGTAATGAAGGCAAATGAGGCGAGTGCTACTCGATTGCAGGAGATCCTTGCTCTGTATGAGGCTCAATCAGGCCAGAAAATCAATAGGGACAAGTCCTCAGCGTTTTTTAGCAAGAAAACAAGTAACCAAAACAAGCTGCAGGTCCTCCAAGTTCTTGGGATCCCAGCTGAATCTCAGAATGAGAGGTATTTGGGTTTGCCTGTGCACATCGGGGCAGCAAAGAGCAAAGAGTTTGAGTACATAAAAGAGATGATTTGGCGCAAGATCCAGGGTTGGTTGGAGAAGCTTTTGTCAAAAGTTGGAAAAGAAACTTTGATTAAAGCAGTTGCCCAGGCAATTCCTACCTATGCGATGTCATGTTTCGACTTGACCAAGAGTCTTTGCGAGGAGATAAGCGCGATGGTGTGCCGTTACTGGTGGAACCAACAAGATGGGAAGCACAAATGTCACTGGATTGCCTGGGACAAGCTCATGAGGACGAAGAGGGAAGGGGGGCTTGGCTTTCGGGATCTCCATATTTTCAATATGGCGATGCTTGCACGACAGAGTTGGAGGCTGATCCAGAACCCAGAGTCGCTTTGTGCCGTGGTACTGAAGGCAAAATATTTCCCGAATTGCTCCATTCTAGAGGCAACGGAACAACCAGGTATGTCATACACATGGAGGAGCATCTTAAGAGGTCGTGATCTACTAAAAGAGGGGATTGTGTGGCGTATCGGAGATGGGACGCAGGTGAAGGTTTGGTCAGACCCATGGCTGCCGAGAGGGTCGAGGAGGCGACCGGTAGCCCAGCAGGGGCAGTCGATCATCTCAAAGGTGAATGAGCTCATAAACCCCGTTACCGAGAACTGGGACGAGGCTCTCGTGAGGGAGCTTTTCACACAGGAGGACGCCAAGATCATTTTAGCGATCCCTCTCAGAGCGGGCATGGAGGATTTTCTCTCCTGGCACTATGACAAAAGGGGGCTTTTCTCGGTCAAATCGGCATACCAACTGGGGGTGAGTCTGAAAGAAACAAAGAAGCACCAGGACGCGGAGGGGTCTACCGGTCAGGTGCAGGCTAGGGAGCAATGGCAACACATCTGGAAGCTTGATCTGCCGGGGAAAGTTCGCATGTTCCTGTGGCGTTTGGCGCATAACAGCCTGCCAATGAGAATGAATATTAAGCGGAAGCATGTGGAGCTTGATACTCTGTGTCCTATGTGCCTGAGGCTTGATGAGGATGGGGGGCATCTTTTCCTTAAATGTAAGAAGGTGAAAGCTGTGTGGAGGGAGCAGAACCTTGAGGATGTCCGGCTGATGCTAAGTGATTGCCATGATTCCTACCAGGTGATCAAGCAAATATGTTCGCTGCCAACAGATAAGAGGTTGCGTGTGGCTATTCTCCTATGGGATTGGTGGACAGCAAGGAATAAAACCAACGCCGGCGAAAAGCAGAGGACTGCACAGGAGGTTAGTGGGTTTATTACTAGGCACTTGCAAGATTTTTGTAGCGTGCAGCAGCAGAGCATCCCTCCGTCAGTGACAGACCAACGATGGGTGCCACCTGGACCTGGAGTGGTTAAATTTAACATGGACGCAGCGTTCCATCAAGAGGCTGAGGCTGGAGCATGGGGTTTCATTGCTAGGGACGAGATGGGCAATTTTATCGCAGCGGCGGCTGGCATGTTGGAGCACATCAGGAGCCCCCTCCAAGCTGAGCTCAGTGCGTGCATGATGGCAATTGATGGGGCTGCTGTTTTGGGGGCTCAGCGTGTCGCTTTTGAGTCTGATTGCCTAACAATGATTAATGCTCTAAATGGGCGGGAGTATGATGCTGCAGAGCTGGGCGTCCTCTTCAGAGAAGCTAGAAGTTTATGCCGGTTTTCCTTTGAGTCTTATGATTTCAGGTTTTGTCGTAGGGGCTGTAATTTAATTGCGCACAATCTGGCGCAGTTTGGCCTAGGGGCTGTTGTTTCCCTATCTGTGTGGGATGTAGAAGCCCCAGACTTTGTTTCGGCTCTGGTTGGCACCGAGATGGTGAACCAGGTTTAAGTGGAATGCAAGTTATTCCTTCTCAAAAAAAAAAAGACTAGTCGGCCACAGTGCACGCACAAGGCAAAGAGATCATCGCCCAAAGAAAGGACCTATTTGTAAGCTCCAAAATAAACGAGGGCACGAATGAAAGGCCCCGGGGAACTTATCTGTAAGGAATTCAGGGACCGGCGCGCGAAATCTCAAAAAAATTTGGACCATTTCTCGATTTGTGCGTGTCATCCTTGCGCAGGGGCCATGCTAATCTTCTCTGTATCGTTCCAATTTTATTAGATGTCCCCGAAGGGACAAGTCTGCTGCCGCGCTCAGGCTTATAAACCGGTGCGTCTCCCCTACGCTGGCCGAGGTGGGACTAAATATCAGCGAGTTTCGTTCCTCCGAGCGCCCGGTGCCCCCACCCAGCCTCGTGTCCTCGCGTGGGTGGGCTGCATCCCCTCGCGCGGCCCAGCTCGGCGGACGGCCCAGCCCAGCCGGCCAGGCTGGCGGAGGACGAGACCATCATTATCAGCGGCAGCGGCGGCCGCTTTCCTCCACACACACACACACACCATTATTTTCCCCTCCCTCCTCCTGACCGCCCACCCACCTACCAGCCACCGAGGCGGCCGATCCCCCCTCCCCAGCCGCGCCGCGCCACCGCCACCGCCGCCGCCGGCAGCCGTTCGTCTCGAGGTACGGACG